CACTTTATTGCCGCTGGTAGAGTGATATGGCATCATAGCTCACAGCAACTTCAAACTCTAGGGCTCAAGCAATTCTTTTGCCTTAGCCTCCCAAGTAGCTGGAACTATAGGTTCCCGCCACAACTCCTGGCTTTTTTTTTTTTGGAGAGACAGAGTCTCACTCTATCACCCTAGGTAGAGTGCTGTGGCATCACACAGCTCACAGCAACTTCCAACTCCTGGGCTTATGTGATTCTCTTACCCTAGTTGCCAGAGTAACTGGGACTACAGGTGCCTGCCACAATGCCTGGCTATATTTTTGTTGCAGTTTGCCCGGGGCCGGGTTTGAACCCGCCACCTTCGGTATATGGGGCATATACCCATATTTCCTTCCAAGCTTATAGGAAAGAGTCAGATGTTCTGTGTCTTAATCTAAACCTTTTCACTAACTTGTGACCTTGGCTAAGTCACTGGGTCCTCTACTCACTGAGCCACAGGCACCACCCAACTCCTGGCTATTTTTAGAGATTATGTCTAACTCTGGCTCAGGCTGGTCTTGAACCTGTAAGCTCATGGGATCCACCCACTTGGCCTTCCAGAGTAGAGTGCTAGGATTATAGGCATGAGCCACCACATCCAGCCTACATTCTATGTCTTAATGGTTTATATAATAGATGTTCTTTGTAAATTCTGTACACAAATCTTTTATTAGGCATGTGGGTTTTTGTTGTTTTTTTTTTTGAAACAGAGTCTCACTATGTCATCTTTGGTGGCATCACAGCTTATAGCAACCTCCTGGGCTTAAGTGATTCTCCTGCCTCAGCCTCCCAAATAACTGGGACTACAGGCCCCCGCTACAATGCCAGGCTATTTTTTTGTTGCAATGATCATTGTTGTTCAGCTGGCCCAGGCCAGGTTTGAACCCGCCAGTAAACTCGCCAGCCTTGATGTACGTGGCTGGCGCCATAACCACTGTGCTACAGGCACTAAGCCTGTTAGGTATGTGTTTTGCAAATATTTCCCCTAGTCTGTTGCATCTCTTTTCATTTTCTTAATGGTGTTTTTTATATTATAAAAGTTTTTAATTTTGATGAGGTGGGATTATCAATTTCTTTTTATGGATTATGGTTTTTGGTATTATATCTAAGAAATCTTTGCCTAACCCATGGTCTCAAAGATTTTCTCCTGTATCTTCTAAAACTTTTATTGTTTTAGCTCTTACGGTTAAGTTTATGATCCATTTTGAGATAATTTCTGTGTATGGTGTGAGGCAAGTATCTTAGTTTATCTTTTTGCATGTGCATATCCAGTTGTCCAACAAACTATTTGTTCCAAAGAATTACCTTGGCAGTTTTCTTTTGCTTGAGTTTAGTTAAGCTTCCCCCTCTCTCACTGTCCTGTGTTGCTGTCTAGGCAGTGAGTTAGAGCACGCATAGAACTCTTCTCATTTGTTTCCTCGTTCAAGTATGATTGTTGTGCATTGCCTTTTGTTCAATATTTGAAAATCTTTGTTTTATTATATATATATAATATATATATGTATGGTTTGGTTTTTTTTGCAGTTTTTGGCCTGAGCCGGGTTTGAACCTGCCACCTCTGGTATATGGGGCCGGTGCCCTACTCCTTTCAGCCACAGGCACTGTCCCAGTGTTTTATTATATTTTTTCTGGTTTCCTAATTGATAAAGGCAGGAGAGTAAACTGGTTCCTATTATTTCTTCATGTTTAGAAGCACAGTTGGCCTCACATTTCAACCTTTGAAAAACTGATATCTCTTTTTTACCTGTTAACTCCTTGGTTTCCTAAAAATAAAAATATTGCTTGTGTAACATGGAAAGATACGAATTACTTTCAGTTTAGAAAGACGCAGAAGCAAATAGAATCTGGGAGATAAAATATCTCCAGCATAGCATTAGCATTCTTAGGATTTATAGGCATAAAATGATACACTGTTCTGATTTAGGAAATAAAATTTGTAAAGCTTGCTATAATTTTAAATATGTCAATTCTATATAGTTATCTTTTAAAGAAAGCTAATAAAATACTTGGTTTTTGGAATTCAGGCGATTATGGAAAAATGTGACGGACTCTCTAAGGGAATCTGAAATTGATAAGGCCACAGAGCATAAACGTACCCTGGAAGAACGCCAGAGGACTGAAGAAAGGCATCGTACTGAAACAGGCACACCCTGGAAAACCAAATATTTTATTAAAGAGGTATGTCGCACATGTGTTCAGCCTAAAACTCATTATTTAGTGGGTCCAGAACGTTGGCTTAGTAGGCTTTGTTGATTGCTATCACTTACACATCTTTATTTTTAAAAGTAGTCCAGATTAACCATGAACTTTCTCATGTGCTCTTCAAAATTTGTCAGAGTAAAATGGTTCACCAGCAGTTCAGGTGAAATATATTTGGGGTATTTAAATTGGCCACATATGAGGCAAGGCATTGTGGCTAATGCCTGTAATCCTAGCCCTCCTAGGCTTGGCACCTGTAGCTCAAGTGGCTAAGGCACCAGCCACATACACCTAAGGTGGCAGGTTCGAATCGAGTCTGGGCCCACCAAACAACAATGATGGCTGCAATCAAAAAATAGCCAGGTGTTGTGGCGGGCACCTGTGGTCCCAGCTACTTGAGAGGCTGAGGCAGGAGAATCGCTTGAGCCCAGGAGTTGGAGGTTGCTGTGAGCTGTGATGCCATAATACTCTACCCAGGGGGAAAGCTTGAGGCTCTGTTTCAAAAAGAAAATCCTAGCACTCCAGGTGGCCAAGGCAGGTGGATTCCTTGAGTTTAGTAGTTTGAGACCAGCCTGAGTAAGAGCAAGACTCCAGCTCTACTAAAAACAGAAAAACTAGTTGGGTGTTGTGGTGGGTGCCTACAGTCCAGCTATTCAGAAGGCTGAGGCAGGAGGATCACTTAAACCCACAAGACTGGGGTTACTGTGAGCTATGACGCCAGAGCACTCTACTCAGGGCAACAAAGTGAGACTCTGTCTTTAAAAAAAAAAAAAATGCTTTTGGGCGGTGCCTGTGGCTCAATGAGTAGGGTGCCAGTCCCATATACCGAGGGTGGCGGGTTCATATCCAGCCCCATCCAAACCACAACAAAAAAAAGTAGCCTGGGCATTGTGGTGAATGCCTGTAGTCCCAGCTACTTGGGAGGCTGAGGCAAGAGAATCACCTAAGCCCGGGAGTTGGAGGTTGCTGTGAGCTGTATGACGCTGCCATGGCACTCTACGGAGGGCAATAAAGTGAGACTCTGTCTCTCAAAAAAAATGCTATTTACCATTTACTGCCTTTTGTACCACAGCTGAAAATCTGTGTTCATTTACAGGGTCCACATTTTAAAGTAGACATGAAAAACTTAATTGGCTGTACAGGGGAAAGTGAAGTGACTAGAAATATGGGTGTTTAGTTTGAAAAACAGAAAATTGAGGCCATTTATTATAAGTTTCTTAACAAATACATATTTTTATCAGATAGAAATTTTTTCCATACAAATAGCTGACTAGAGCTAGGCACAAACTACCAGGAAGCATATTTTGGGATTAATATAAAAAGGAATTAAAAATAAAAAAGGAATTGTATAACAATCAAAATATCTATTAAATACATTAAATAAATACATCTTATAGTAATGTAGTTCCCATCAGTATACAGATGTGTGTACATACACTCACCTCCCAGAGTGCGAGGATTACTGGCAGGAGCTACCATGCCTGGCCAGTCTGTTTCTCATTTCTTCTTTTTTTTGAGACAGAGTCTCACTATGTCACCCTCTATAGAGTGCTGTGGCTTTACAGCTCACAGCAACCTCAAACTCTTGGGCTTAAGTAATTCTTTTGCCTCAGCCTCCCAAGTAGCTGGGACTACAGGCGCCCACCACAATGCCCAGCTATTTTCTTTGTTGCAGTTGTTGTTATTTAGGTGGCCCAGGCTGGGTTTAGAGCCCGCCAGCTTTAGTACATGTGGCTGGCGCTGTAACCACTGTGCTATGGGTGCTGAGGCTCTCATTTCTTATTTATATGCCCAATACTTAGAACCTGTCTCCTCTAATTTTTTTGTCATACTTTGGATGGACAGATAGACAGATACTTACCATACTTTGGATAGACAGATGCAGAAAGTGGTAGCAAGATAATGGCAATTGGCCGGTGGGGAACGTGTAGCCTTCTGATTTCAAGATTGTTCTTTTTTAAGCACCAAAAGAGGGGAAAAAAACTTATTTTTTCTTTGTTACACCCTTTTAATAGAAGGATTTGTTCTATAAAATTTTGATTCAATCAAAAGGCCAAACTTACGGACCAGGAAGGCTACAATTTTCTTAAGGCCTCCAGGTTTCCCACTGCTGAGTGGTCTTAAGTAGCTGCCTGATGGAACGATAGATTGGAGATGCAGACCCAGATTTGGCCCCATTTGAGTGGTAACATATAAGCAAAGTTTCCTTCCTGAATGGTATGCCATGGCACAGTGATGCAGCAGATGGGTTCGAGGTGTGTCATGGTATTACTTCCCTAAGCCTGTGGAGCAACCAGGTTCTGTCCTGTGTGTAGACTTGATATGTACCATCACACATGAGAAGTATTGTGGAGTACAAATGAGGCTAACAAGGGTGGCAACCAAGTCAATAAATTTGGAGCTACTGTCATTATGTATGCCTGTATGCTAAAAACAATCATGTTATTGAAAAGTAAATTTTCTGGCTTGGTGCCTATGGCTCAAGTGGCTAAGGCGCCAGCCACATACACTTAAGCTGGAGGGTTCAAATCCAGCCTGGGCCCGCCAAACAAGGATGACTGCAACCAAAAAATAGCCAGGCATTGTGGCAGGTACCTGTAGTCCCAGCTACTTGGGAGGCAGAGGTAGGAGAATGGCTTAAGCCCAGGAGTTGGAGGTTGCTGTGAGCTGTGATGCTGTGACACAGGGCGACGGCTTGAGGCTTTGTCTCAAAAAAAAAAAAGAAAGAAAGAAAAGTAAATTTTCTGTAGTTGTATCTACTTAGGAGGCTGAGGCAGGAGGATCACTTAAACTCAGGAGTTTGAGGATACTGTGAGCTGGGCTGATGCCATGGTACTCTAACCTGGGCAACAGAGTGAGACTGTCTCAAAAAAAAAAAGTCAATTTTGTCTCCTTGTTGGTCTTAAACAGAGTGATAGACACATAGTGAATGTTTTACAAATATTGTTATTAATAACAAGGGCTCACTTGTTTGGCACTTTTCATTATTGCTGTCAGATAGATTACAGGCCAGTTAAGTGGAGGAATAAAGAATAGAGTCACTTTTAGTGTAAAAAGGGGATATAAGGAACCTGAGAAAGTATAAATGAATTAACTGAAAGTGTTTCTAGTATCATTTAATAACACCCACCTCCTTTTCCTGACCATTCCTCACTGACATTTAAATTAAATAGATCTTCCATTTCCTCCCATTTGTTATTCACGTCCAATAGGATCTGTTGGTTGTATCCTCTTAAATGAATGTTTAACATTTCTTGTGGTGGGCTGGGTGTGGTGGCCCATGCCTGTGATCCCAGCACTCTGGGAGGCCAAGGTGGGTGGATTTCTTGAGCTCACAAGTTCGAGACCAGCCTGAGCAAGAGCAAGACCCCATCAATAAGAAATTAGGCAGGTATTGTGGCAGGCACCTGTAGTCCCAGCTACTCAGGAGGCTGAGGCAAGAGGATCACTTGAGCACAAGAATTTGAAGTTGTGCTTTTCATTGCCAATAGCACTCACGCAAACATGGTGAACGTTCCTAAAACCTGCCGACTTTCTGTAAGAAGTGTGGCAAGCACCAGCCCCACAAAGTGACACAGTACAAGAAGGGCAAGGACTCTATGCCCAGGGAAAGCGGCATTATGACAGGAAGCAGAGTGGCTATGGTGGGCAGACTAAGCCGATTTTCTGGCAAAAGGCTAAAACTACAAAGAAGATTGTGCTGAGGCTTGAGTGTGTGGAGCCCAACTGCAGATCTAAGAGAATGCTAGCTATTAAGAGATGTAAGCATTTTGAACTGGGAGGAAATAAGAAGAGAAAGGGTCAAGTGATACA